CACCTTGGGGGAATGGGGACATGGGACATGGTGGGCACGTCCACCTGGGGGACGTGGGGACATGGGACATGGTGGGCACATCCACCTGGGGGATATGGAACCTGGGGCATGGTGGGCACGTCCACCTGGGGGTTATGGGGACGTGGGATATGATGGGCACGTCCACCTGGGGGATATGGAACCTGGGGCATGGTGGGCACGTCAACTTGGGGGACATGGTGGGCATGGAGACCAGGGACATGAAAAGGAAGGGGACGTGGCGGGCATGTCCAGCTGGGGGACACTGAGACCTGGGCTGTGGGGGACGTGGAGCCTGGAGACACAGTGGGCAGTGTGACACGGACCTGGGACAGGATGGGAAGGGGGACATATGGTGTGCTGTGGAACATGGAGACCTGGGACTTCAGGGACACGTCCGCACTGGGGACATGGAGACGTGGGATGTGGAGGACACGGAGACTGGGAACCTGATGGGCAGGGGGGACATGGGATGCAGGGGGATCTGAAGACCTGGGACATGTTGAGTGTGTTCAGATTGGGGACATGGAGACCTGGGATGTTGTGGACATGGAGACTGGGGGGACACATGGTGTGCATGAGACCTGGGTCATAATGGGTATGTCCACCTGGTGGACATAGAGACTGGGCACCTGATGGGAAAGGGGACGTGATGGGCAGGAGGAGACGGAGACCTAAGACAAGGGGGACCATGCCCGAATAGGTGACACCAAAACGTGGGACGTGGGGACCATAGAGACTGGGACGTGGTGGGCATGAGGACATGGAGACCTGGGATGAGGCGGGGGGACACATCCAGATTGGGGGGGACGCAGAGACCTGGGATGCGTGGGACATGGAGAGACTGGGGACACGATGAGCAGAGGGACTCGGCACGTGGCAGGAGGAGGAGGTGACCGGTCCCTACCCCAACCCCATCCTCATTGTGTGTCCCCTCCCACCCCTACCTTGCAGCTGAACTACCTGGGTCCCCCCTTCAATGAGCCCGACTTCAACCCCCCGCGGCTGGCGCGCGCCGAGCGGGTGCCCAGCGCCACCGTGGACTTGGACCTGTGGCGGGGCTTGACCGATAACGCCCGCTTGGCCGCCAACTACCGCGCTTACAGCCGCCTCCTCTGCTACCTGCGGGCGCTGGATGGGCAGGCGGGCGCCGCC